CCAGCTTCACCATTACTGTCCCTCCCAGGACAGCACTATCACCCCCACATTTACTGACTACCGGGGACATAAAACCTCCACCCTTTAAAATTTTGTGATTACATGACCAGTAAAAGGGCCCGAAACCTTTCAGCCCAACTTTTTATTTTTCCCCATCTTTTAAAAAGAAAGTTTCCCCCAGGTTTTCAAATAAAAGCAGCTTTGATGTTGCCCCTTTTTTAAATACCCTTGTGATTTTAGTCCCCCAGTTTTTCCTATTTGGGCATACCCAAAAACACTTCCCTGTTTTAAAACTGCTTGTAGCTAGTTCTTGGATATCTGCAAAAGGGGGCGTGACACCAATTTCCACAAAAATGAAAATTTTTCCCCATGGGGAAAAGCCCCGTTTTTTTTAAACTGACCACAGACTACACACAGCTTCAAAAATGATTTAAAATGGAGGTTTTGTGTGCGAGGGCTTAAACTTCCAGCAGATGCGGACGTGTTTGATAGGAGTGAATGGTACAAATGGTTTTTAATACTTGACGTCTGTTGGAGTGTGAGCAAAGAACATTTATGAAGGGGGTTCCCGGGAAAACCGGGAAGGCCGGAAATTGAGTCCCCGGGAAAGGGGAAATAAAAGTGCCTTTCACTCTGAAGAGGGGGTTTTTAAAGTTTCCCGTTAAAAACTGTATGTAAAACACCCTTCGGCAAAACAGTGATGGAAATGAATGAGGTGAAAGTTTTTTTTTTTTTCCGGGCCACCCCGCCCTTTGGTTTGGGGAAACCGGGCCCCCTGTGATAATAAAATAAAAAAACTATCACTTTTTCTTTGACACCTCATTAATAAGTGGGGTTATAGTGAGCAATATTGAAGGAAGCGAGAGCATAAGCTCGAACTAAGGCCCGAAATCTTTCAGTAGTTTAAAGGGCAGATTACTGGGGAAAAGCTTTTTAAGAAAAAAGTTTTTTGGACATTTTTATTCACAAATAAACAATACCTGGAGTTTACCTTTGGGGAGATTTTCCCGGGGGCCCAAAGCCCCCGGGCCCGGTCTGGCCCCGTGGCATTTTAATTAAAAGACTGAAAGGGCCCCCCGATACCATTTGGGGCAACCCTTTAAAAGGTTTTAAATAGGAAATGAAAAATTTAAAATTTTTAAATTTTTTTTGTTTTGCAAAAGTGGGAAAAAAGAAAAAATTGTAATGTGTTTCAGTGTGAAGAAATAAGCTTAATGTGTGGTACAACCGGAAGAAGAAACTTTTAAGGTTTTATACACTTTAGATATAATAGATTTTCTATTCTCATTAGTTTAAAGTTTGGGGCAAATACCTGTATTTTTCAGAAATAGTTTAGTAGGAAAAAATAAATTTCAAGTTAATCCCTGTAATATTTGGGACACCTTTTTGGGTTTCCATCCCATCTTTGACACTGATTTAAATTTTTTTAGTGAAAAAAAAATTGGGGAGTATCTTTTACGCTCTGATAGTTTAAATTAAAAAATTTAAAAAACATTGTGGAGGGCAGTAAAAGTTTTTTTTTAGAGAACTAAAAAGGGGGGGTTTAGTGGTTGGGCATGTTTGAGACGATGGAAAAAGAGGGTTATTAACTTGGGGGGTATTAGGGGGGGTTTGGGCCAAACCCAGGTTGGTTGGAAGGGGGTGGGTAAAAAGAAAATTTTTTTAGGGGGCCCTTTAAACATCCCGCAGGCTTTTGGGGGGATGTTTTGTTTTTTAAAGGAAAGTACTGTGGCAAAATTTGAACTAGGTAAAATTTTATGAAGGGAAATTTAGGGAAAACCCGTTAGCTGGATTTGAGGTTTTTGAAGGTGGGAAAAGGGAAATGCCTGCACTCCCCTAGGGGAGGGGGAGATGCGCAGCTCAGAGGGGAATTTTGGGAAATTTTGGGTGCCCGCAAAACTTTTGGCTAAAAACAGTTGCTGAATGAATGACAGTGCATGTGTTTCCTTTTTTGGGGCACCCTTCCCTGGTGCCCAAAAATCCCGATGTTTTTTTAGTTTTTTCGATGACCTAGAAATTTGGGGTCAGATAAAAATTTTTTAGTTTTAAAAATATCCTGGGATAGGAGATTGGAGATAATGCCCATACAAAGCCTTTATTGGCCAATATCACTGAACAAGATCTATTTAGTTTGGAAAAAAAAAAATTTGTTGCAGGGGATTCCGGATTTTTCTGGGGGGGGGCCGGGGGGGCAACTGAGCACCGTTTTAAAAATCAACCCGTAAACCCCCAAACCCCCTCCACCACCACTGCTGCTGCCCCACAACCTCCCCAAAAGGGCCAAACCCCAGCTTCGCACAAACCCAAACCCCAACCACCATCCCACAACCCACACAACGCAACAGCTGCTGCTCCTCCTGTGTCACACTCTCAGCATCATACACACACTCATGCAACGTTATCACAACATCACCAAGTTTACAGGTATGCCCAAATTTTATTAGTTTCAAATTTTTAAAGTAAGACAATAATAAAAGTTAAGCTCATACTTAAGGGAGTTTTCAGGTAATATCCTGTTTTGTGGATTGCTACTTTTGATAAAACATTTGTTCACCACTAGTATCTAGAAACAAACAAGACACAGATCGAGAGAATTCACACACTATTCTATACTTCAAGAGTTTATTTTTGTAGCATATTCATGCTAGAGTTCTTGGGAAATGGCTGGACTACTAATGAAGAGCATTCTTGTATTTTAATAAACTATACTGATTGTTTATGGCCATCAAATAAAAGTAGCATGGGTAACTTCTTAAAAATGTGCTGCTATTGAAGGACATTTTATCTTCCATCACAATGCAACTTTTGGTGACAAACTGTTTTTATCAGTTTTCTACTTTACTTGGCCTTTAATTTAGATTTGCTTTCAATGAAATTACGTAAGAAAGGAGGAACACTGCCAGATATGGGCCTACTTGCCCATACCTGGGAAGACCTTCTCAATTTTGACCCCCTATCACTCAGATATTTGACCCACCTATTCTTAAAGCTACCCAAGTTTTAAGGTTTAATAACCCTGGTAACCTATTTTCTGCAGATCCCATTCAAATCCAACTCTTGTTCATGTATTTGCCTAACCTGTTTTTAAATCTACCTAATGCTGTAGCTTTGGTGACCCTACTTGTCAGATTGTTCCACTCATTTACTACTCTAGTGCCAAACCAGTAATTTTCTATATCCTTTCTAAAGCTAAACTTATCCAATTTAAATCCATTACTTCAAGTTCTTGCTAGGTTACAGACCCTCAATACCCTTTTTGTATTCCCTTTATTCCTATCTTCCACTTATCTTCTTCAATTACTGTATATCTCCCCTCATTCTGTGTCTTTCAAGAAAGTGAAGGTACAGAGCCCTCAATCTATGTATGAAAGATTCATAATGCACAGGATTAATTTTGTCATTCTTCTTGGTATGTTTTCCAATGAATTTATAGCCATTCTGTAATATGGAGACCAGAACCGAGCTGTGCAATCGATACATCTATGTCATATGTAGCTGTGCAATCTGTGTATTACATATAGAACTATAGTATAATTCTTGGACTTCTGTTATTTAAACTTATTGATATAAGATTTCTTCTTACCATAACTCCAAAGTTATTTTCACATTCAGTATGGTTATATTCAGTGTTATTTAGTTTATAAATGTGAGGATTTTTTCACATTCCCAAGGAATAGGACTTTGCATTTATCTACATTAAAATCCTTTTGCCACCTTTTGAACCACATTATTAGGATGTCCAATGCTTCCTGAAGGTCACTGGAATCTTCCCTTGAACTTATTATTTGGCCTATTTTTGTGTTGGCATATGTACTCGTGTCACCTGCTGTCCCCACATCAAGGTCATTAATGTAAATTATGAACAACATTGTACCCAGTCTAATTCTTGTGGAATGACACTTGTGATGGGTCTGCAGTCTGACTTCACCTCATTTATGTAGAGACTTTGCTTCCTTCTGGATAGCCATGCCTCAATCCATGATAAAACTAGTTTCCCTGTACCACCAGCTGCTGCTTCCTTTAACAGTCTTGTGTGTGGTACTCTTATCAAAAGCCTTACAGAAATCCAAATAAATATTATGATATACTTTATCATGATCCATTACCTCAAATACTTAGCTGAAAGATGTTGGTAAATTGGTAAATTTGCTAGACACTCATGACTCCTTGTGAATCAAGTGTTGAATCTCATGAATCAAATTATGCTAATGAAGGTGGCTTCTTCTTATATCTTCTATAATTGACTCTCAATAATTGGCTTACTATGGAGATCAGGCTTATGAGTGTTAATTTGATGGTAATGACTTATCCCTGATTTAAAGATTAGAATTCCATTAGCTAACTTCCACATCTCTAGGACTGATTTGGAGATAGAAATTAAAAGAGTTAGTGGTTTACTAAGTTCTTACCTTGTACTCTGTAATAACCCTTGAAAGAGGTTAATACATGGTCAGTGTGCAGTATTGTGCACAGTATACAAAAAAAAAATTGGGGCCCCTGCAGTGCATTGTGGGAAGATAAGGTGTGGGGTTACCAAAAGTATTATTTAGTGGGCTGATGAGTGGTTGAGATGGTTGGGGCATTGAGAGAGGATGGAGGAAAATAGGATGGTTTGGAGAGTGTGTAAATCTGGGGTGGAAGGATGGAGTAGTAGGGGTCATCCTTGGAGATAAAGGAGGCTTTGAATACTAGGGCTCGGACATCCAACAGGCTTGTGTGAGTATGTTAAATAGGAGTGAGTGTAGGTAAGGGGTTTTCATGATTTGACTTGCTATTGGACTGAAGATAACATTTATGAAGGGATTCAGGGAAACTGGTTAGCTGGACTTAAGTCCTGGGGATGTAAAGTATAGTGACTTCACTCTGAAAGAGTGGTGGAGATGTTGCAGTTCAGAGGTTCATCTGAATTGTGATTCCAGCACACTTTTGGCAAGACAGTGATTGAATGAATGATGGTAAAAGTTTTTCTAATTTTTCGGGTAACGCTACCTCGGTGGGAGATGACCAGTGTGTTAAAAATAATTATTCCTAATTTTTCTTTGCTTTTTCAGAGTGGAGGAGTAGGTGGGCACGGTACTGGCGGAGTGGGTACAGGCGTGGGTCAGGTTGGAGTCCCTCCTGGGCCTAGTCCTGCACCCCCAGGGCCTCCCCACGAACTTAGTTCACAGTCCCTCCCTCCAGGATCTACGCCACAAATGCAACAAGGTTCAGGTAAGACTGATGAAGATAGGTGTTTAGGTGTAGCATTTTCAAAAACCCTGCATAAATATTATTGAGTGTGTAAATGTTGTATACTTTTGTCTTGTGTGTGCACTATAGGTTTATTGAGTAGGTACAATATGTAAATAATAATTAAAATAAAAATTTATTTTTAGCTATAATTCATAGAGGTTCCAAAGAGAGATAAAATTTTTAAGCATTCATTTTAATGACATAAAACTTAATAAAATTTTAACCAATCAAAATTTTGTTAACTTGGGAGAATTGCAATAATGCTGTTGTCAGCAGTTTAGAGAACAGGAAGGACTTGAGCCCATGGTTTCAAAACAAGAGATGCAATCCAGTGCTTATACTCTGTGAGTTATTTTGTCTTTCTTGACTGGAATACAGTGTGATTGCACTAATAATGCCATTTAAGGCAGTCAGAATTGCAGATCTAGATAATGTACAGAGAGCATTCATCATCCATGTAAATTCAGTCGAGCACTTAAATTAATGAGAAGGGCTCCAGTCTTTTGAACTGTATTCCCTGAAGTGCAAGTGAGAAAGGTGCATCATAATTTATACCTGGAAAACTTCTATGGGCAGTGGTTCTAAGTTTGAATACCAATATCACTCTCTCTGATAACAAGAGGCTCTGCAGAAGTTGCAAAATTCTCCCAGTGAAGAGCAGGGGTTCTACTAAAAGATGTAGCTTTAGTGTAAAGGGATCAAGAGACTTCAACTCCTGTCAGACATAAGAAAGAGCTGTCTTCAAGAGGGAACTAGCTAAGTTTCTCAAGTCAGTTTGGGATCACCTGAGCTATAGTGAATGCTCAGGTGTTGCCAAGAGGTATGGGATTAAATTTTAAAAGATAGAGAATCTAACACAAAGTGGAAGTTGTCACAGTTGCTTTTGCTGATGACATAGTGCTTTTGGGAAATTCTGAAGTGAAGTTGCAGAGGTTTGTGGACTGAGTTTGGTAGGGTATATAAAAGAAGGAAATTAAAAGTAAACACAGGAAGGAGCAAAGTGATGAGGATAGAAAATAATTAGGTATTGAAAGCTTGGATATCAGATTGGAGGGAGGAAGTATGGAGGAAGTAAATGTATTCAGATATTTGGGAGTGGACTTGTCAGCAGATGGGTCTGTGAAAGACGAGGTGAATCATAGCATTGATGAGGAAAAATTGGTAGTGATGCACTGAGGAGTCAGTGGGGACGAAGATTGTTATCCATGAAAACAAAAAGGGTAATGCATGAGAATAGTTACACCAGTGTCCTTATATAGAAGTAAAGCATGGGTGGTGAATGTTGCAACAAGGAGAAGGCTGGAGGCAGTGGAGATGTCGTGTTTGAGGGTAGTGTGCAGTGTGACCATAATGCACATAATCCATAGTTTGGAAATTAGGATGAGGTGTGTGGTTACAAAAAGTACTATCCAGAGGGCTGAGGAGGTTTGGACAGTTAAAGAAGATGGAATGGAGTACAATGACTTAGAGAGTGTATAAATCTGTGGTGGAAGGAAGGTGGTGTAGGGGTCCGCCTTGGAAAGGTTGGAAGGATGTGGGGGTAAAGGAGGTTTTTGTGTGTGAGGGCTTGGACTTCCAGCAAGTGTGCACGAGTGTGTGAGGATTGAGTGGAGACACGTGATTTTTATGACTTGATGTGAAGTTGGAGTGTGAGCAAAGTGGCATTTATGAAGGGATTCAAGGAAACTGGCAAACTGGACTTGAGTCCTGGAGGTGGGAAGTACAGTGCCTACTCTCTGAAGGAGGGATGTTGATATGTTGCAGTTTTTTAACTGTAGTGTAGGCATGTGTCAGTTATGGAGTGAATGATGATGGAAAGTGTTTCTTCTTTTTCCGGTCACCCTGCATTGGCGGGAAATGGCTGATGTGTTAATAAATAAAAAATAAAAAATAAAATATTTCTATAAGTACATGATACATCTATTGCAGACCTAGCTGACATTACTGGCATACTACAGTATATAGTAAGCCCCCAGTTATGCAGAGCATTTTGGGCAACTTGGGTAAATCTTGTTCCCTGGGATGCGATCCACCACAGTAGTACCATCGTAAGCATATCATATCTCAAATATTTCATCGCAACCCAAAACTAAATTCCTCTATGAGGGTAAATTGTAACTCAAAATTATCGTAACTCAAGTTCAACAAATATTAAATATTTAAGCTAGAATCTACAAATTTTAATTATTTTTACGAAAATTTGACTAATGTTTATAATCATTACATGTACAGTACTGTGAGTAGCACTTACGTTAATAGCATACAATACTTTAAGGCCCCACTTATACGGCAGGTTAGGTTCCAGGCTACCACCATAAAGCGGAAATCTCCATAAAGTGGAACGCCCTTTTTTTCCACTTATAAATGCATATAAATGTTAGGTAACAAGTTTACACTAACATATATTAAGTTAGCAATAGAACTAGGAATTAAAAAAACAATAAAAAAGTAACATACACATATAGTACACTTATTACTTACCTTAAAATATTTTTATTATTATTATTATCACTCTGGCCGATTCCCACCAAGGCAGGGTGGCCCGAAAAATATATGTAGTCTTAATGTAGGGCAAGAAGTGAATAATATTTATTTGTAGGAAGTCAGGTGTGGGAGGTATGGTAGCCAGCCAGGCCAGGCCACCCCACACACTTATAATAAACTACAACATTTAAAGTGTTCCAGAGCAATAAAATGCATATACAGTTCACTCATTACTTACCTTAAAATATTTGTATTCTTAATGTAGGATGAGAGGTGAGTAAACGAGATAAAATGAATAAACAAGAGAGAGAGAGACAGACACAGACAGACAGACAGACACACAGACAGACAGACACACACAGACACACACACACAGACACACACACACACAGACAGACAGACAGACACAGACAGACAGACACAGACACACACACACACACAGACAACACACACAGACAGACAGACAGACACAGACAGACACACACACAGACAGACAGACAGACACAGACAGACAGACAGACACAGACAGACAGACACAGACAGACAGACACAGACACACACACACACACACACACACAGACACACACACAGACACACACACAGACACACACACACACACACACACACACACACACACACAGACACACACAGACACACACAGACAGACAGACAGACAGACAACACACACACACACACACACACACACACACACACACACACACACACACACACACACACACACACACACACACACACACACACACACAGACACACACAGACACACACACAGACACACACACACAGACACACACACGTTAGGCCCATATTGGAGTATGCGGCACCAGTTTGGAACCCACACCTAGCCAAGCACGTGAAGAAACTAGAGAAAGTGCAAAGGTTTGCAACAAGACTAGTCCCAGAGCTAAGAGGTATGTCCTACGAGGAGAGGTTAAGGGAAATCAACCTGACGACACTGGAGGACAGGAGAGATAGGGGGGACATGATAACGACATACAAAATACTGAGAGGAATTGACAAGGTGGACAAAGACAGGATGTTCCAGAGATTGGACACAGTAACAAGGGGACACAGTTGGAAGCTGAAGACACAGATGAATCACAGGGATGTTAGGAAGTATTTCTTCAGCCACAGAGTAGTCAGTAAGTGGAATAGTTTGGGAAGTGATGTAGTGGAGGCAGGATCCATACATAGCTTTAAGCAGAGGTATGATAAAGCTCACGGCTCAGGGAGTGACCTAGTAGCGATCAGTGAAGAGGCGGGGCCAGGAGCTCGGACTCGACCCCCGCAACCTCAACTAGGTGAGTACAACTAGGTGAGTACAGACACACACACAGACACACACAGACATACACACACAGACACACACACACAGAGATACAGATACACACACACACACAGATACAGATACACACACACACACACACACACACACACACACACAGATACAGATACACACACACACACACACACACACACACACACACACACACACACACACAGACACACAGACACACAGACACACAACACACACACACACACACACACACACACCACACACACACACAGGGCCAGGAGCTAGGACTCGACCCCTGCAACCACAAATAGGTGAGTAGGGTGAGTACACAGACACACACACACAGACACACACACACACACACACACACACACACACACAAGAGGTCACAATTGGAAGTTGAAGACTCAGATGAATCAAAGGGATGTTAGGAAGTATTTCTTCAGTCATAGAGTAGTCAGGCCATGGAATAGCCTAGAAAGTGATGTGGTGGAGGCAGGAACCATACATAGTTTTAAGGCGAGGTATGATAGAGCTCATGGGGCAGGGAGAGAGAGGACCTAGTAGCAATCAGCGAAGAGGCGGGGCCAGGAGCTGTGAATCGACCCCTGCAACCACAAATAGGTGAGTATACAGACACACACACACACACACACAGACACACACACGCAAACACACACACACACAGGATTTCACACCGTCCTGTGAACTGACCATCTGAACCTCGCTCCTTCTCTCTCTCCCTCTCTTCCTATCCTGGGTAGAGACCTATCTCTCTTTACCTATCTCACTCATTACCTATATCTCTCTCTCTACCTATCTCTCTCTCTCTCTTCCCTCTCCCATCTCTCCCCTCCCATTATCTCTCCCCTCTCCCTTTTCCCATCTCTCTCCCCTCCTCCCCTCTCTCTCCCCTCTTGCTCTTCCTTCTCCCCCCTCTCTCTCCCCCCTCTCTCTCCCCCTCTCTCTCCCCCTCTCTCTCCCCTCTCTCTCCCCCTCTCTCTCCCCCTCTCTCTCCCCCTCTCTCTCCCCTCTCTCTCCCCCTCTCTCTCTCCCCCTCTCTCTCCCCCTCTCTCTCCCCCTCTCTGCCGTCTCTCTCTCTCCCTCCCTCTCTCCCTCCCTCTCTCCCTCCCTCTCTCCCTCCTCTCTCCCTCCCTCTCTCCTCCCTCTCTCCCTCCTC